CTGGCTCTTGCTCTTGGGATCTTTTGTTTTGTTTTCTTTTGTTTTGTTTTGTTTTGTTTTCGAGACAGGGTTTATCTGCATTGCTTTGGAGACTGTCTTGGAACTCGATCTGTAGACCAGGCTGGCCTCGAACTCAGAGATCCACCTGCCTCTGCCTCCCTAGTGCTGGGAACTAAAGGTGTGTGCTACCAACACCTGGCAGGCTCTTACAATCTTATTAACACCTCTTCTGCAAAGTTCCTTGTGCCCTGAGAGGAGGGATTTAAAGATGTTCCCTTTAGGACTGAATGTTTTAAGGTCTCTCGCTCCCTTCCCATTGTCCAGTTATGTATGGTAATATATATTAGTGTCAATCTCTGAAGGCAATTTTCGTATTTTTCTGTTAAGTTACATGTATGCTTGGGAAGGTAATTCCAGGCTATCAGATTTTTCTCACTACATTGTTTTTATAATTAATTATTACAATATCTACTTTCCTAGTACAACGTACACATAACAACAGGCTTTTTAGTTCCTTTTCACTCACATAGTAACAGCAAATGAACCCTCAATTAACTGTTTTGGTAAAACAAGATAGAATTTTTTTAGACATAGAAAAAAGGATTACCAGCCTACAATCCACACCATCAGAAAAGCTAGGAAACAAGGAGGACCCTAAGAGAGACATACATGGTCCCCCACAGAAGGGGAAAGGGACAAGATCTCCCAAGCAAATTAGAAGCTTGTGGGGAGGGGAGAGGGAGTTAGGGGGAAAAGAAGGGGAAAGGTGGGCATGAGGGAGCAGGAAGACTGAGTCAGAGAAAGAATAGAGAGCAAGAAAAGAAATAACGTAATAGAGGAAGCCATTATAGGTCTAAAGAGAAATCTGGCACTAGGGAAATGTCCAGAGATCTACAAGGGTGACCCCCAACTAACAATCTAAGCAATAGTGGGGAGGCTACCTTTAATTCCCTTCCCCCATAATGAGATTGATGACTACCTTATATGCCATCCTGGAGCCTTTATCCAGTAGCTAATGGAAGCAGAAGCAGACACCCACAGCTAAACACTGAGCCCAACTCCTGGAATCCAGTTGCAGAGAGGAAGGAGTGATGAGCAAAGGTCTCAATACCAGGCTCGAGAAACTCACAGGAAAAGCTGACCTGAACAAACGGGAAGCTCATGGACCCCAGAGTGATACCTGGGAAATCAACATAGGACTGACCCAGACCCCCTGAATGTTGGTGTCAATTAGAAGGACTGAGATGTCTATGGGGCCTCTGGTAGTGTGGATCAGTATTTATCCCTAGTGTAGGAATGAACTTTGGGAGTCCATTCCACGTAGAGGAATACTTCCTCAGCCTAGACACATGGGGAAGAGTCTGGGCCCTGTTCCAAATGATATGACAGACTTTGAAGACACCCCATGGAAGACCTCACCCTTCCTGGGAAGCAGAAAGGGGATGGGATGAGGGTTGGTGGTGGGAAAAGAGGAGGATGGGAAGGTGCAGGAACTAGGATTGATATGTAAAACAAGTTTGGCGGCACCTTTAGTCCCAGCACTGGGGAGGCAGAAGCAGGCATATCTCTGAGTTTGAGACCAGCCTGGTCTACAAGAGCTTGTTCCAAGACAGCTTCCAAAGCCACAGAGAAACCCTGTCTTGAAAAACCAAATAATAATGATAAGAAGAAGGAGGAGGAGGAGAAGAAGAAGAAAAAGAAGAATTTTACCATAGTCAGCTACTTTACCACAAATTTCATATTATATTAAATTTACATCATAATTGGTGATACCAATATTCTCATAACTCAATTTAAAGGTTATTCAATTAACATGTCTACAATGCACTTGCCAAAGCATTAACTATTTATCAGATTATTCACCACCATAGTAACAGGTGGACCCTCTTAGCTTTGGCATGGTGTCAAAGTTTGTAGAACATATTGATATCTAAATAGCCACTCTAGATGATAAGAGTGTTTGCTATTTCTGTGGCCTTTTCACCAGAAAGAGCAATTTCAAAACAAAATTAAAAGAATGTACTTTTATAGTTGGGGAGATGGCTCTGTCAATAAAGAGCTTGCTGCTTAATCGTGAAGACCTGAGTTCAGATACCCTATACTCACATGAAAAGCCAGGCATGGTGGTGCATACCTATAGCCCCACAGTAGAAGGCAGACAGGCAAAACTCCAGGGCTTGTTATCTGGCCAGGCTCACAGATTCAGCAAGCTCCTTGTTAAAGGATAGCCTGTCTCAAATTACAAGGTGGAGAATGATTGAGGATGACACATGGATCTCTGGCTGCAGTTAAGTACACACATATGCACTGAACACACACACACACACAGGTTCACTCTGTTCACTGGATTGTTTATCACTGTAAACTTTCCTTTCATACCTGGGACAGTTCCGTTCTTCATGTTAAGACTTTTCTCAGTATCTCAAGATTTTATTCTCTGTGACAGACATATCAACAGACATGATCAACTCATGTTGATCTTTATTCCAGAACATATGTACATGTTAATATTAATCATGTACTTTCTCCTTAACCCTTAGTCTGGCCTCTTCTACACTATGTAACTACAAAACTGATGAGGGATCTAGCTTATCTCCCTTACAAAGGTAAAGATGCAACTGTGACATAGCATCAATCACCATTGAGCAAGAAACCAGTATCCTTTAGAGAGGGAGATGGCTCAGAGGACAAAGCATCTGCTGTGCAACCCTCATGACCTAAATTCAGAATTCCAGGTCCAACAGAAAAGCCAGAAACTATATCATGTATGCTGTAATACCAGTTCTCCTCTGGCTAGACAGGGGTGGAGACAGGAGATTCTCTAGAAACTTGGTGGCTAGCAAGCCATGCATTCCAACAATGAATTACAGAGTCACTCTTATCTCAAACAAGGTGGAAGGTAAGAATGACAACCCAAGGTTGTCATATGACCTCTCCACACATACACCCATACTCAAAAACAATAGACACACAGATATATTCTCTTGCATACACACACAGCACATACCAACACCATACTGGATTGATCACTGCTGAGTTCCTGCTCTCCTTTTCAGAAAGGCACATGGTTTTAGAAGACACAGTTATAATAGTGCTGTCTGGGTTATCCTCCAGAGAGATTTCTTCTTTTACTTAAAATTTGCCCTTTGCTTTGCTAAATGATACAATATCTAAATATTTTGCTGTTATTAGAAGAGAACACTTAGTATTAGACTAAACAAGTTTTCAAAAATGAGGCTTTCTGGGTAGCTTTTCAGTGATCTGGTGATTGCACCATCAATGCATGAGCCCTCTTTTCTGAGAGTCTGTTGGAGTCTAGGGGATAGGGCCTAACATGATACTCAGAATGAGGAGTCTCCCAGTTTCAGTTGGTACCCCCAAGAACTCAATGTCCAGTCCAGTTGCTGCAACACGCAAGAGGCTTTAATGAACAGGAAATGTTTGTGCAAACGGACTCCTCCAGCACTCAGGCTAGAGAGAAGCCCCATCCACCCCCCCCCCTGCACAGGTGTTTTTAAAGGCAAAACTACAAGCTTAGGGAGGGGGTGGGACCCTCTGTCCATTGAGTATGTGACCCTTGGAGGCCGGATGGTCTCACTATTAGGGTCAACAGACCTTAGGGCTCAGGATGAGCTAATTAATCTTGTCTGGGCAACCCGGAGGTACAGTTATCTGTTTCTTAAGGACCCTATTCACCACCTGCTGACTCACAAGAAAGGAGGGACAGTGTGAATTCTTGGTATCTTGTTATCTCAGGGCCTTGTGAGGGGAAGTTAGCAAATTCCAAGGAACAGATATTAGTCTGGGTTAGCTTTCCAGGTTAGTCTGTCCTTCATTTCAAGTGGGAGGTTTCTTTAACTTTACTTTTTTGTCTTTCACTATGTAAATCAGTTTGTCCAAATCTTTAAGTTTGAAAAATGGGGTCAAGAAGAAAAGTGTGTTGGTTTTGTTGTTGTTTGTTTAAACTGCTATAACAGAGAGCCAAAGACTGGAGAACTTAAAGAGAAATTTATTGTCTCATGATTCTGAGGACCTGAAGTTCAACATGACAGAGGTTCACTTCCTCCTGAGGCTCCTCTCTTTGTTGTAGAAGGCCATCTCTTTCTGTGTTCACTCGGGCTTCACCCGGTGCCTGTCTTATTCCTAAATCTCTTCTGAGGTCACCAGGCATGTTGGAACAGAGTTCATGCTACTGACTTCATGACCTCTTTTCAATACCCCGTTTCCTCAAACAGTCACATTTTGAGGCCATGGGAGCTGAGACTTCAATTAAGAATTGAAGGGACAGCAGGGCAGTAGAAGCACACACCTTTAATCCCAGCACTTGGGAGGCAGGGGCAGGTGGGTCTCCGAGTTTGAGGCCAGCCTGGTCTACAAAGTAGGTTCCAGGAGTCAAGGCTACACAAAGAAACCCTGTCTTGGGAAAAAAAAAAAATCTAAGTCCCCACTCCAAATGACTCCACATATTTTGTTGATTCCTCCTAGAAGGCATCACCCTCCCTGTAGGGGTGGGGATGAGATGAGAGGGAGGGAGAGAAGGAGGAAGGGAGGGAGGGAGGGGGAACTGGGATTAATACGTAAAATAAGGAAAAAAATTTTAAAAAACAAATAAATAAGAAAACAGAGAGGGGGGGGATTTGGCCCATACAGAATGGAAATGTACTGTTTAGATAAATACTTAACAAATGTACAAATTCATTGGAAATCTTAAGCCTAACTGATTAAGATGTGTATCATAATGAGGTGATAATAGATTCAAAGCTCTTGTAAATATGTTATGATGATTTCTTGACATGCCTTAACTGTAATTTTATTTCTTCTGAATAAAATATATATGACTCTCATTTGGTCCAAAAGCTTAGTTCTAAGACAGACCAATCCTCAAAGTTCTGTTAATTTTCCTGAAACAGCTGAGGTGCATATGCCTCTCTAAAGAAAAAGGCTGTTATACAGAGAAACCCTGTCTTGAAGAGCCAAAAAAAAAAAAAAAAAGAAAGAAAGAAAAGAAAAAGGCACTTTATTTACTTACACCAGAGGCCACTATTGGCAAACAGATCTTTTCTTCATCCACTAACTTACTTGAAATTATTCCAAATAAAATAGAGAATGTAAAAATTCTATTAACATAAGTAATGTATAATAGGTGTGATAATTATCATTATTATTATCATCAGTGAGTGTGTTAAGAGATCTGAGGAAGTACTAGATACCCAGTCCTTCTCATACAACCTCCCAAAAAGAGTGACTGTTAGCACAGGTCCAGATGTTGGCTTCAGGCTAAACAAACGCCCATCGCTTGACACCTGGTTAAAACATAGAGAAGTAGATAAGGTCAATTGAAGCTACAAAAATCCTACCATACTTTTAATAGTAAAAGAAGAATTAGCTTAAATTGATGGCTTGATTTTGTTCTTCAAATGTTGCAGGGGGTAAGAAAATTTGAAGTGATAAAACCAATACTAGTTCATTTATTATTAATGCATTTAATTGATACCTGACAATGTACTTGTCTGAGGAAGCATGCCATGTAGTTAGCATGACAAATTGGGGGTAGTGGTTTCTAGTCCAGCCCTTCCAGACTTATGAAGACATGGCAAATCGTCAGAAGCAGTGGGCAAAGGTGGGGTTTGGACTGCATCTATTACTGTCACTGGCTCCCCACAGCCCCTTCACCTCCCACAGTGCACCCTCAGCCCTGCAATCACCCCTGTAAGGAAAATGAACAAGTGAAGCCTGCACCGTCAGGGAAGGATGTGGTTTGAAGGACATCCTGGGTTATGAAGCAAGCCATTGATTCTGGGCTTAGGTTCTGCTTCTTGTAAACAACCACTGTTGAATTGTCTCTCCTTCAGCTTTCCCTTCCCTTTTTTCCAGTAATCTCACTGGGCACAGAGTCCTAGGCCATCACTAACTGATGGCCCTAAGGGGCTTCACTGTTGAGACGGACCCTGAACTATTCAAGTACAGATGAATCTTCTCCCTATTCAACAGACCTTGAACAGCCCAGACTCCTCCATATAATGCCCCCAACAATCATCTATTTGTTTATAGAGGCAAAAAGAATACGGAGATTATATTAATTTTCAGGTAAGAAATCCAGTCTGCTCAGAGTCTTTCACAATCCTCAAGACAACGTCACCCTTTTCAAACAGGGATATTTATATTTGGGACAATCTGAGTTAAGTTTGCATGTCAAGGTGCCTCCTCTTCTACATTCATTGGCTACGTCAAGCAAAGATTGTTACCTGAAATTCCCCAGGTGCAAGTTTGACTTGACTCAGCAATACCTCAGGGAAGACATACTGGGTTCCAAACGTGCCACTGAGGGAGAACATTTCAAACCTGGTGGCAGCTGTGTCCACTGAACTACCGCAGGTGCGTAAATTGGTGGTTTTACATTTCAGTAGAGTACAAATCTAGATGAGAAAAGCAAACGGAGATGTCAGAGTAGAGATGACTGTGGACTTAGCTTCATCTAATCGCTCTACAATGTAACCATGTATCAAAGCGCCATGCTTCATGCCATATGTTCACTTCCCAATTGTACCTTAAAGCTGTGTGAAGATGTTTGCACTCGCTCATTAATGTGGTGCTATCTACTCTTTAAGTCAATAATGTCATCAGACAGGGTGACATATGCCTGTCATCTTAGCTCTCTGAAGATGGAGGCAGAAGAACCAAGTATTCAAGACTAATCTGAACTGTATAGTCAGGGCCACATAATAGGAACCCATTTTTATAACAATAATAAAAGGATGGAAGGGAGGGAGGGAGGGAGGGAGGAAGGTCAGTTGAAATGCCCTGCTCTAGAAAACCGACTCTGAATCTTTAGCTGGCATAATGTTCTTGATGATTAGAGGCATCTTGAAGTTTTTTCCTGAACAACTAATGTGTTTAATTATAAAGTATGTTGGTCCTCAGTGCTTCCTGTAATATACTGCCAAAGGGATCCACCATAGAATAGATACTTAGCTCTATGGAGGATGCATTCATACTCCCATACTCCCATTCTTCTCACAAGCAGCAGCTCTAGAAATTTCCCTGGCTCTCCAGATTAGATTAAGTTCAGCAATCTGATACTCTTCAAGCCAAATGTACACACACCACTGTATCACATGTCAGCCTGAGAAACCATACACTCACATGGCTTTCTACTCCACGAGGCACTGTATTTCCTAAGTGGATGGCTTACACTCACCTGTACATCATTAATGCTGTTCTGCATCTAGTACATACTTAGTACTCAAATGTTGCTTATGGAAATGAGCTTTGCTGGTGTGTTTACACAGCAACCAAAATGTCACCCAGTTGGCACAGTCCTAGCATTCCAGGACTGTCAGCCTCAAGTATGTGAATAACGTGGCATGTAGTGACTTTGATTAAGCCAAACAGGGGATGTTCTGGGAACATATAAATGAGGTTGCTAACCTAGCTGAGGAGTGGCAGAGGTCCTGAAGAGGTGCCAAGCATCCTCTATGGCAAAGATAACAACTAAGTGCTATGAAAGGTGGGCAGGTGGGAGCCACCATCCATAAAGGAATGAAATTTTATAAACATGCAGAGATTCTATAGATGCTGTAAATTTGGGCTAAGTGTTAGAAACATCTCAATATCCAGAATCCCAGAGCTGCGTAAGTAGAGGATACAGGGACCACATATCAAGACTTCCTGGGTCTTCTATATTCAAGCATTTGATTTGTCACTTAATAGTTTAGTGAGGAATTTTCAGCAAGAGGGTCATACTATGAGAAAAGGCACTGTAATTTATTTTGTAGTAGTATAAGGAATAGACTAGATAGAGCAGAAACCACCAATAAAGTATCCTATTAGGAGAGCACAATATTTTGAGTGATAGGCTGACAGCCAGATCAAGGAATCAATTGCAAACAGTATGTGAGCATTTTGTAATAGGTCTTTCTTCCTGCTAAGGACTGGGAGGTGCCTGCATCCTTCCTAAGGACTGGGAGATGCCTGCATCCTTCCTAAAGACTGGGAGATGTCTGCATCCTTCCTAAGGGCTGAAAGATGCCTTCAGACTTCCTAAGGACTGAGAGATGCTTGCATCCCAGCCATAAACCACTCTAGAAACTATCTCAGGGAACAACTTCATCTATAGTAAGCACTGAGTGCATACTTGGTGTTAAGTTCTTTATAAATCAAGATAGACATTGATGAGCACACAGAAAGCACCTAAGCTTGTCCACGTAGGACATATATCCTAGGTACTGCATTATCCTTTATTTGTAATTTGAGTAACATTAATATTGGTGATGCCACTTCTCCACTGCCTCTGCAGTAGCTCCTCTCACCAGGTCCCAACCTGAACTTCTTTAGGTGATGAACACTGTCATAGAAGTGTAAGCAAAATTAACATTTCCCTCCTTTTGGTGGTTTTAATAAGCATGACCCCATGGATTTAAATGCTTGGTTACCAGGGAGCAACACTATTTGAAAGGAATAGGAGGTGGGGCCTTTTTGGATGAAATGTGTCACTGGGGATGGACTTCGAGGTTTGAAAAGCCCAAACCAGGCCCACTGTCTCTCTCTTTTTGCTGCCTGCAGATCTGGATGTAGAACTCTCTTAGCTACTTCTCCAGCGCTATGGCTGCCTTCATGCCAACACTCTCCCTGAATGAGGATAATAGACAAAACCTCTGAAACTGTATGCAAGACCCAATTAACTGCTTCCTTTGTAAGAGTCGCTTTGGTCATGGAATCTCTTCACAGAGATAGAGCAGTGACCAAGGCACTCCTCAACATGTTTTTGATGATGGAGTTTCATCCCAGTAATAGAAAGCCTAACCGAAATATGTCCTGTATGTATACCATATGGAAAACAATCTTCCCTTGATTATCTGACATTCAGTTTTTCCCAGCTGTGTGCATTTGATCTAGAAACTCTTCTGATTGTGACATTACCTGCAGATGATACTGCCCTTCCACGGTGTGCAACCCATCAAATGCCCCAAGGGCATAAACTTCATCAGCTCTCTTCTCGGACATCTGGTAGCTTAGATGACAGCAGAGATCGTTCTGGCAAACAGTGTAATTTCCTGTGATTCCTTTGAGCTCCACAAAGGTAAACTCATCAAAGAAAACAACGCTCTGAAATTCCTGGTCCCCTGTTGAGGGTGTTTCCACACTGCTGGCGTAAGAAGTCCAGTTAACTGAGGAGCTACTCGGGTGGGAGTCCAGCTGCGCCAGAAGGAGTTTCCCCTCGTTGGTTTTCCTGTCATAGTGAAAGGCCCTTGGAGAGTCTGGAGCATAGATGCCACTTCCTGGAAACACAGTTGGAAACGGAAAAATAAAGAGACTTTGTGTTCGTCACTCTATCTAAGATTCATCGTCTTCCCCTCTCTAAGCAATATATTTCACTAATTTCTGTAATGTGTGCTGACAGGGGACAAAGACAAGAGGAAATCCATACATAAAACATGACAATAAAGACATTTAAAAAGAAAGGGTGCACACTGAATAATATTAAGAAAATCTGCCAAATGCAGGCAGGTTTTATTTGGGTGTTTATTATTTCATTTCCTTTGGGATTTTTGTTTGTGTTTGTTTTAAGACAGCATGTCTCTATGTAGTTCAGGCTGGCCTCCGATTCACTATGTAGCTCAGACTGGCTAGGAACTCAGGACTTTCCATCCTAAGTCTCCCCAGTGCTGAGATTACAGCTGTGCACAACCACACCCAGCTACAAAACTGTTTCAATAAAGATTGAATGGACAGCATATCATCAACTAAATATTCAAAATTAGGAGTTGGACTGGAAAGATGGCCCAGTGGTAAGAACACTGGCTGCCCTTCCACAGGACCAAGGTTCAATTCCCAGCACCCATATGGTAGCTTACAACTTTTTGTAACTCAAGTTTCAGGGAATCTGATGTCCTCCGAGGATATTGCACACATTCATACTAAATACCTAAATATAAAATATACACGTCTATAATCACTACTTTCTATAAAAATAAGACAAGATTATATATTAGCTTTAAAAACTAGAAGTTGAAAACTGGGTGGTGGTGGCACGTGCCTTTAATCCTAGCACTTGGGAGGCAGAGTACAAGGCCAGCCTGGTCTACAGAACGACAGGCTCCAAAGCCACAGAGAAACCCTGTCTGGAAAAACCCAAACAAACAAACAAACAAAAAATTGACATCTGATTTGGTGGCGTGGGCACCTTCCCCCGACCCCGACCATCAATACCTGAGACAGGAGAGAAGCTGGCACTGGGGTCATAAGAGGAGGGGGGCTGTCCCCACCCCTTGCCAACTGTACCATGCTGGAGAGTGGCCCTGTACCTTGCCTGGGCAACATAATAAAGCTGGCCCTGATGGTATAAGGGTCAGGAAACCAACCCTGTGGACATGAAAGCAGGATAACTGTCCCCACCCCTCACTCATGAGGTGAATTAGCCAGGACAATGCTGGAGAGGTCACCCTGGTGGTGAGGACGGGGAGAACTGGTGGGTGGACCAACCCTGTGGCCACCCAGGCCTAGAACCAGGGTTATGAGTTGGCCGGCTCCATCATCCACCCCATCTGTGATCTGCTGGAGTATGTGAAGGGACCAGTTCTGCAGACCCAAAGCTGAAGGATCTCCATCACACAGGGCAACAAAGCATATCCAAGAAGAGTCCTAATGAGGGTCCAGCATTAATTCTGTAGTAGAAAGCAGAGGCCACAAACCAGACCAATGACTCTTTGAAATGAACCCTTGCAAGTATAAAGGTATATGGACAAAAGGGGTGTCACTGTGTCACACTACAGCTTCCACTGATGAGATTTAATTCCCCCCTCTTTTCCCCTTAAATTTGTTTTATGGGGGGGGGAGTGCAGGGGTGGAGGGCAGATGTGAAGGGATGGAGAAATGAATGGGATCAAGATACATGATGTAAAAGGCACATAAAAAGTAAAGAATAAAATTTAAAAAATAGGAGTTGAAAACGATGTACGAACTATTTTTTAAATGTTCTTTCTAAATAAAGTTTAAAGACCACATATTACCTACCTGTCATTCTCCTCAAGGGACTATGTATATTGGCTGCAAGGAAATTGACCCCCATGCCCATAGCCCAAGCTGAGTGGAATTCAATGGCTGCCAAATGAGGCAGAACATCCATCCAAGCAGTTGGGAACAGTATGGTGTCCACCTGGAACTTGGTCACCAGGGTAACAGCAGGATCATGGAAGAGTATATCGAAGCATGTGAAGATGCCAAACCTTCCAAACGGGGTGTTGAAAGTCACCAACTCAGGCTCTGTGGGTGCATTGAATTGTTCTTCACCCATGAAAAGGTTTTGCTGTGGTAAACAAGCAAAGCAGAGCAATAAAATTCTAGGAAGCTTCCCAGGACATTGTTATTCTACATGCAAAATGTGTTCAGTCAACAGTGCATGTTTCATGTGTGACCACCATCTTTATAGAAGAGTAGCACCTTAGTAACTCAGAGCCACTCCAGTGAGACGCAGCCAGCAGCTCCCCTTACAGGATAGACCATGTGTATGGGTGCACCTGTCTAGATGGTCTTGAATCTTACAAAGTAGGTGAGACAGACAACTACTGACAAAACACCTCACTATGTGCAAAGACCTTCATGCCTTCCTCAGGACTAAATCTGTTCCTATCATAAAGTCTTCCTAATTCACCTTTGACCCACTACCTCAGGAAAGTTTTAAAAGTCAAAACTCAAAAGATAACAGAGTAAGGAGTCAATGAAGGCGGCTCCAGGTGGCTCCCGCCTGTCCCCATGCACAGTCCCAGGTTGCTGAATGCCCTGGGAATGCACTGGGTCTCCTTATAGGGACTGGTTCCATCTAAATCCTACTTTCTGTGCTGACACTACTCTCCCTCTAAAGGTCACTTACTGTTGTAAATAATAATTTTCTCCTCACTTTTATTCCATAGTCATTTAATTAACTAATTAGTTAATCAATATTACCTTATGGTATCGTGCAACCAGTTTGCCCAGGGAATCAAACACCACATTAGTGTTGTACTGGAAACGCCCATCAGGAGGACACTGAGGGTCACTAGTGTTGCATGGCTTCTTGTCTCCCATGTTTGCCACAACATAAATTGAATTGTTCTTGGCCAAGCAGCTGAGTCTTTCCTGTACTGGGGTGTAGCCAAATCTGGAATATGTCCATTGGGAGAGAATTAAAAAAAAAAATCTGCACTAGCTTTTAACAAAAATCTATGGTTTGGTATGTACGACCATTCCAACTAAGAGATAGGAAAAAAGAATTAAAATAAGAGACTTCATAGGACACCATTAGTGGAAAATTTTCTGAGGTTAAGAGACCAGCATGCATACTTTTGAATCATAACACGTATCAAATCTGTAATTATACATGCAGTTATATGTTCATTTTTAAATGTCTACACCATACTCTGTATATTATAAAGAAAAATTTTCCACATTCAGTTCATGAAACCAGACATAATAGAAGAAGCACTATTTGTGAAGTCTGGAAAGATAGCAGAACAGAGAACACTTAGGAATCTGATGCCCTACCTGGACAACACTTGCACTGCAGAAACTGCCCTAACTATTTTGGAATTCTATAGTCTGCTCAAAAGCCCAGATGGTAAATGGTAGTTGATCTCATCAATTCTGTTGTAATTAGCAGTGGCTAATCTCCCAAGCCTAGCCTTGCAGCAGGAAACTGCCCTTTCTCTGTGCAACTTGCAGACTTCTTGGGCAACAAGGACATTGGGCTTTAAATGTCAAGGTCCTTATCTAAATGCTTGCTTCTGAACATAGAGATACAGACAAAGAGAATGTAACTTTTGTACACTGTACACATCCTTTATTATTTAAAATCTGCTCTTGCTAGTAGAATGGACTACCAGGGCATAAGAGACTACCTCCCTCCCTCAAATAAAGAGGAGACACAGCAAACCTTGGGGAAAATAAAAATCTTCAGATTGAAAGATTCAACCACAAACAAAGAATCATAAGACATACAAATAAACAGCAAGGGTAAGTAAATGGAGTTAGGTGTGGTGGCATATCTTTAATCCCAGAATCGTGGCAGTCATAGTAGTTAATTCAAACTTGAGAGCCAGTTTTGAAGTAGAATTCTGTTGCTCAAAATGGGCAAGCAGGGGCAAGCTGCACTCTCTTCTCCCCACAAACCTTAAAAGTTTAAATTTGTGCCTTGAGAGAAAAGAGATAGACATGAGGGTTGGGGGATGTATCTCAGTTGGTAGAGTGTCTGCCGAACTAACAGCCTAGCATACTTGGCATACAGGATTCTCTCCCAGTACCAAATACACCGGGTATGGTGACATGTGCTGTAATCCCTGAGATCCCTGCACCAGGACAGTAAAGATCATTCTCAGCCACATAATAAACTTAGTGCCACTGTGGAATTCATGAAATTCTGTCTTTAAAAAAAGAAAAAGTTCAGCCTATTGGTGGTGGTGCACATCTATAATCCCAGCACTTGGAGGCAGAGGCAGGAGGATCTCCGTTCTACAGAGTGAGATTCAGGGTATGTAGAGGAGCCCTGTACCGAAAAGATAAATAATAGGGGAGGGATGGAGGGGGGATGGCAGGATGGGAGGGAGAGGGAACTGGGATTGATATGTAATATACAGTTGTTTTTAATTTAAATACAAATGTATATTTTAAAAGATAAATAAATAAGTTCAACAGGGTGTGGTGGCTTGACTTTAATTCCAGCACTGGGGAGGCAAAGATAGTCAGATCTCTGAGTTCAAAGCCAGTCTGGTCTATATAATGAGATCCGGAAGAGCCAGGGCTACTCAATCTGAAAAACAAGCAAAGTTGAGAAATACAGGAAGATAATGGGCGGTGATCAGCAAAAAAACTGAGATAAGATAAAAATTAAAAACAAAAATGTGGATGTGTCAGCACTCAGAGGCTCAGACAGGCAGAGCTCTGTGAGGACAGCCCGCTACAAAGTTCCAGCAAGTTCCAGGCCAGCCAGAGGTGCACAGTGAGATCCCAAAGAACGTTAGATATAGCAAGGAAGTAAGACTGTACCCTAAAACACTAGCCAAAAGTAGGGAAGGGAAAACCCTCTGTGTACCCTACTCTCATAAAAGGAGGGAAATAAGATGATCAGAAACAAAAAAAAAAAAAAAAAAAAAAAAACAGAAAGAACAAAATGTTGAGTGCCACACCAACACACTGTGAAAGCAGACACTAAGGGATTCCCACCATCTGAGACGCTGCAAATTATGCCGGGGTGAAAAGACAGCAGACCTGAGAGAAATTCTACAATCAGCCACTCGATCAGAAAAGCAGAAAGTACACATACCCAAACCCCAAAGCCCAGTTTCCCCGCCCTCAGAGAGATGGTTTCAGGGAAGAGAATCCTTAAACTGAAATTCAATGGAGCAAGCACACCTAGGTTATGATGGGGATTGCAGGTACCCTGAGCTCCCATAAGAGAAAAAATTCCACTTGCTAAGCAGGCCTTGCCCTCAGATGAGTTGATAACCTGTTCTTGGAGTAGTGTTGGGAAATGTGACTTTTGCCCTGAGCATATAGACGGAAGGTTTAGGTATCAAACCATATGCACCCTGGACAGTGATGGCACACATACTTAATCCTCGTACTCAGGAGGCAGAGGCAAGAGGATCTCTGAGTTTCAGGCCAGCCTGGTCTACAGAGTAAGTTCCAGGACATCCAGAGTGACACAGAAAAACCTTGTCTCACAAAAACCAAAACAACCATAATATTAATAAAGTAACAAATAAATAAATAAACCACATACCCTAGCCCCAGGCCAGAAGGGAGGGATGGCTTTTCAATCCTATTACAACCAGTCCCTCTAGGATTCTGCAAACACTTTAACTAAAACAATAAGGGAGGGTTTTTTTTAATTGAATAACTTAATTCTAGTTGCACAGATGCCAAATGGAAAATACACGATACATGAAGAAGAAAAAAAAAAAAACCAATATGAAAATACAGGAAAATCACCAATCCCACAGAAATGGACTCCAAAGAGAAAAGACAGACAGGAAATACAAGGACATGGTTATAAAGGTGTTAAACAGAATTAAAGGCACAAACTCGTAAGTGACAACAGAGAACAGAATTCAAGAGGGCATAGACTGCTGATAGAGAGTATGAATAGCTAAATGGCATAAGGAAGGCACTACAAGATATAAAAGAGAGTATGAAAGCCCTAGCAGCAGACAGAATCAGGTGGAAGACAAGGCTTGAAGACAGGAGGATGAAGTAAGATACCAAGACAACAATAAGTAAATAATAAGGAAATCAAGCAGAAATGCAGTATCTCTGGGTCACAAGGCAAAGCTATATTTCATAACTGAGAAAGAAATATGTCATGAAGCCAAACTGAAAGGAAGTTATGGCCATTAAGGCAGCCCTACAGAACAGTCTTGAAGGTATTTTACACACCAAAGAGAGATAAGCTTGCCTATGAATTTACAGTGAATAAACCACACTAGAACAATATATAAACAAAGGAGGATTAGGAAAAGCGAAAAGCACCAAACATTTTAACAAGAAAAATATGACAGTAATGAATTTGTGTCTTTGAATAATATCTCTGAGTCTCAATGACCTAAATTCTCTGGGAGACATAAACCAGCAATTAGGAGACCTCAGATGGCTGTAGTGGTTCTCACCTTGAATCCCAAGGCTTGGGTGGCAGTGGCAGGCGGGTCTCTGAGTTCAGGCCAGCCTTGTCTGTATATCAAACTCTGGACCAGCCAAAATTACATAGTGAGACACTGCCTTAAAAAAAAAATAGGAAGAAGAAAGCTACCTGAATAGAGATATTCATCACTCTCTGCTTCCTGGCTACGGGAGCCATGTGGCCACGGTCTCTCCCTCCTTGCCAGGCAGGGTCTTTCCTGCCATGATAGACTGTACCCACTCTGACTGCAATCCAGAATGAACTATTCGTTCCTTCCTTCCCTTCCTTTCTTCCTTCCTTTCTTCCTTCCCTTCCTGCCTTCCTGAAATTGCTGACTAGATAGATATTTTGCTGGAGCAATGAGAAAAATCGCTTTTACTGAAGGAGAAAGAAAGGCATTGCAAGCAAAGAAATCAGGTGGAAAGGCAGACACAGGCACGCTTAATACCCTGGGTCATGTTCCTCCTGCTAGCTGCCTCTAAGTCCATGAGCAAGTTATATGCTATCATCCTTCCAAGCTAAAAGTATTCACACTGGGTGGGATTCCCTTTAGTACTAAGAAATAGAAATTTGATTGGTGATCTCAGAATTTATGTTCATTTCCCTGATAAATTAAACCAAACTAAGCTGAGTATGATTCCATGTATCCCAGCCCAAGATACCATTTAAAGATAGTGAAGGTTTAATAGGTTAAAACTGCCAGGCAGTAGTAGCGCATGCTACAGAGGCAGACAGATGTCTGTGAGTTCGAGGCCAGCCTGGTTTGCAAGAGCTCGTTCCAGAACAGCTTCCAAAGCCACAGAGAAACCCTGACTCAGAGAAGACAAAAATAGTTAAAACTAAGGAAAGGAAGGTGTGTCGTTGGAGAATGTGGAATTGAATAGCTATTAAAACCCTGGTCCCTTCCCCTTCTTTTATTTTCTGACTACTCTGAAGTGAATTAAGACTGTTCTGCCATGCTTTGCCACCATGATTAAGATGTTGCCATAGGCCTAAAAAAACTAGTTAGATAAGCATAGATTAAAAACCTCTGAAATCGAGTCTTCTTTGAAGTCGGTTGTCTCAATTGTTTTGTGATAGCAACAGAAGTCTGACCAGCACATGACCAACCCAATATTCCCTACAACCCTTTCCCCAGGTAAGACAAGTAGAGGCTCATAATTGAATTTTTCATCGGGTTTTTTTTTTTTTTTTTTGTATATTTGAGAATTTCCTATATGCATACAGTAAAATCTAATTATACCTAGTCTCCCCCTCCTGACAACTCCCCGCTAGATCTTCCCTAACCCGATCCCATCCATGTACTGTTCCTTCACCTGTTTGCATTATCACAGGGAATCCAGTTCACTTGAGGGTCTGGGATATCCTCCAAGTATGGGTAGATAGTATCCCTGGTGAAATGCACACCATATATTCCATCTTCTGGAGTCACAATGATGTGTGCACCCTGTTAGAAAGACAGTAAAACAGTCCTCAAACAGGCTGACAATTAGGGGTGGGTTACAAGAAGAATTGGATATTAAGTGTCAAGCTGGGTGAGGTAGAGGAGCTCAATGAGTGGAGGCTAGCCTCTGCTACATAGCAAGCTCCAGCACAGTCAGAACCCCATGGAGAGATCTCATCTCAAAAATAGGGGAGGGGGTAACTATTGAGCACTTTTATCTTACTCTTCTGCTTTCTCCATTTTTCTTTTTCCAAGCTTGTTTGTTCGTTCATTTTGTTTTGTTTTGAGACAGGGTCTCATGTACCTCAGCTGGCCTCCAACACACTGAATAGTTTAGAATAACCTTGAATCCCTGGCCCTCCTGCCGCCACCTCCCAATCCCTCAGATTACAAGTGCACACATCTGGCTTTCCCAAGCACTTTAATTATCTAATTCCCCCATTATCACAGCAGTGACTTTTTCTAATGGACACTTACAGCTCTGTAGGATCCTGTTCCCATTAATTACACTCCTATTCCCCCCTCCAACCCCTAAATCACCCCCTCTTTGAACTTTGGACCATTGTGCCTGGCTGAATCTGGATGGATTTATAACTCAATCCCTGTTTCTGCCTCTGGATTCTCCTAAACATGATTCCTGATCCTTATGAGGAAGGACTTTGTAAACAGGTCTGCTAAGCTATGCCTTGCCTAGAGTAATCTCTTGGCTAACCTGGGCACTTTGGAACTGGACAGCCACCTTGAAGGTTGCCATGGACTAAGGTGAAATACAATATCAACATGTAATAATCTTTTAAGTTTTAATATATATATATATATATATATATATATATATATATATATATATTGTAATTGGAGACCGGGTCTCACTGTGTATGTAGCCCTGGTTGCTCTGGGACTCACAGGGGTCTACCTGCCTTTGCTTTAGGAGCACTGGGATTAAAAGCATGTGCCACTACACCCACCACACTAACCTGTTTCTATTTAAATACTATCATAATTTACATGTCCCTGATCTGTAAGTGACCTATGAATATCTTACTTAAACTGTCTAGCTAAACCACACTTACACTGTAAAGTTTGCTTTAAACGTCACATTGGTCCAACTCAAGGACATTGACAGACATACTTTGACAGTGAAATTAGAATGAATTGATGAGTATGATATACTTAGTGAAGCAATTGAAACCAGTCTGTGGCCACAGACTCTAAACACTCCAGACCTTGTCAGATTGCAAACTTATCTGACCCCTACAAACCAGAGCACATTCAATGAAGCTATTTAATCTAAAAGCAACTGCAGGGGGTGTGGATGGAAAGATCCCAGAACCCTCATGGATGCTCAGAACTGCCTGGAACTCTAGTTCCAGAAGATCCAATGCCGCCTTCTGCCCTCTGTGGGGACCAAACACAGATACACACGAGCAAAACACTCATACACATGAAATAAAGAAATCTGTTTTCCAAAAAAGGAAGAGAAGGAGAAGGCGGAGGGGGGGCAACTGTCCTGGTTATACTTTACCCTCCATGCTTAGCAAAAGTGAAAACAAAAACGTTCAGTATATAGCCAGTTCCTTGCTTCAATAATGAGCAAATGTTATTTTCAAACTTCGTTGCCTCCCTTTGTTAGGGATAAGTAATAGCGCCTTTAATAATTTTGAGGTGAAAGGATTCTAACAAAACAAAGCACCTCGACTATGCTAATATTATAAGTGGAACTGACCCAGACAGTAACCCGGTGCCCTGTGAATCACTCCCACACCTCCCAGGCACTCCCAGGCACTCCCACGCCTGTCCCTCTCGACTTGATGCTCTGCAGAGATGGGAGAGGGTACCTGCTTTGCTGCGGATACGATCGCTCCTTCCATTAGATCTAGATTCCGATTCATTATTGCCAGTGCCTCACTGTGAGACAGTGGGGACGGGGTGTCACTAGGCATGATCACCGCATGTTCGTAAACGGCTGCAACAAAAGTGTCCAGGGAGCTGACTTGCAGAACATAAAAGACAGAAAGCACCGCACAAGCCAGCCACCGAGACACACTCATGCTGTTGAAATCCAAAGACGGCTGAAAACCAAAGCTGGCTTGCTATTTGTGTAAACAAACCACGGATCACGTGTTCCCCAGACTTCGGGATCTTCAAAATAAATTTGAAAGATTAATCTTAACAAAACTTCGTCCCTGGAAGCAACAGTTCCAGAAATGTCCTTGGTTTTCTAGTCAGGAATGCCAGAAGGGAACCCTGGTTACTTATCTTTTCCTGAGTGAGGCCCCACCCATTGCCTGGAGGTCACAAGTGAGGGTGGGTGGGGACTGCAGGTCCAGTCCCTATGGTGAAAAGCTTTGGAACTGCTTCTCTAGATTTTCAGGGTAAACGTGGGTAATAACCAGACCCCAGTTTCAGTCCATGTCCAAAATGACTTTAGGATTGTCCCTTCTTCAGAGAGGATGGTACAGCAGCTTTGATCAGGGCTCTGTGGAAGGCTATTTATTTGACTGGGTGGATACCTAACATCCCAAGCCACCCAAGACCAAAGAATTATTCCAGCTGGATGTGGCAATCACCTGGCCAAAGGACCACCCCTCAGGGAAGCAGATTCCCTTTAAACCAAGCTAAAGAGACAGAAAGAGTAACAACTGTCCCTTCGAGAAATAATGTTCTGAGTGCCTGTTCCAGGACAGTTGCTCCAAAGCCACCCCGAAGTTCTGTTCTCCTAACCTGCTGTCTGTTTCAGAAAGGTGTGGCCTCTCTCTCTCTCTCTCTCTCTCTCTCTCTCTCTCTCTCTCTCTCTCTCTCTCTCTACTCCAAGGCTAACTCAAATAGCTTGGTTTTGGCTCTTCCTCTGGGCAGCTTCTGAGATTTACACTTTGCTTGCCCTGGGGTCTTCACCTTTAATTCCAGCCCTCAGTAGACAGAAGGCAGGCAGATCTCTGTGAGTTCATGACCAGCCTAGTCTACAGAGTGAGTTCCAGTACAGCTAGAGCTATGTGCTGAGACCCTGTCTCCAAAAGCTAAAAAAAAAAAAAAAAAAAAAAAAAAAGAAGGGGGGGTTATAAGAAAAGAAAGAAAACATTGCACCTTCACATTATTCTGAAAGAACAAAAGACCTTTGAAAGACAAAAAAAAGTAAAGTTAATGAAGGACTAACCTGGAAACCAATATCTGTTCCTTGGAATTTGCTAACTTCTCCTCACAATGCCCTGAGATAACAAGACACCAAGAATTCACACTGCCCCTCCTTTCTTGTGAGTCAGCAGGTGGTAAATAGGGTCCTTAGGAAACAAAGAGATAGCTGCAACTCTGGTTTGCCCAGACAAGATTAATTAGCACACCCTGAGGCCCTAAGGTCTGTTGACCCTAATAGCAGACCAAGGGTCACATACTCAATGGACAGAGGGTCCCACCCCCTCCCTAAGCTTGTGGGGTTGCCTTTAAAAACACCTGTGCCAGGGGAGGGGGCTTCTCTCTAGCCTGCGTGCTGAGGGAGCCCATTGTGTAAACATTTCCTGTTCATTAAAGCCTCTTGCGTGTTGCAGCAACTGGACTGGACATTGAGTTCTTGGGGTACTGACCAAAACTGGAAGACTCCTCATTCTGAGGGTCTTACACCTTCTCCCTCAGACAACATGTAAGCAACAAGTAAGGGATGATGTGTAAGGTACACAGGACTGTCACCTGGCAACAGATCACAAACTGAGCAATGTGAATCAGACAGTTGTACCTCCTGCTGGTAGCAAGGTTGACCTCCACTCAAGGCTGTGAGAAGGGGCATGCACTGTCTGTCCTTGGCGTGGACATGACTGTCTTCTTCCGTAGTTCCCAGGTGGTAAGCATGTGTGTCCAAAGGTGTTCTTTTCATAAGAGCAGTAAGTAGAGCAACATGGGTCACATCCCGAGGAACTGCATTTCCACACAGGACTTTTCGGAACTCCTCCATTGCACAGTTTCAACATGTCTAAATAGCATAAAGAGCTTGACAATTTTGAAGTTATTAAACCATCTGCACTTGAATTTCAGCAACACAGTGAAGTCCCAGCTCAGTCAGACTAGCGTTGACTTCCAGTGGGGTTTCCCTGACCAGGTGGGTAGGAAACTACATACTTTGCAAAGAGAGAAGGAAAATGGCAAGCAACTGCTGTAGCTATGATTGCTCCTTCTGAGAGCTCCGGAGAGCCAGTGGCAGGTGGAAAACAGCATGTTACATAACAGTTTCTGGGGTAAAAGTTGCAGCCAGAATGAGTTACCAAAGAGTCGTCCCTAGACCCACTAAAGCTCAAAAACAATTTTTTGAGCAGGTGTCACTATGTAGCTTACCTGACGTGGAATTCATAGAGATCCACCTGCCTTTGCCTCCCAAGTGTATACCGCCACACCTGACTCAAAATGTTTAGAAAAGAATCTCCCGCTGAGGTATCTGTTTAAAATGTGCAATGGTTAGCAAGAATCTCACCACAAGGAAAAAAAAAAAAAAAAAAAAAAAAAAAACCCTGACTGTCAGGAACTCCTTAAGTGCCTTGAGAATTAGGTCACAGACCAGTCTGTAGCCCTATGAATTGGAGAGAAAGGCAAAGGAGACAAAAGCCTTGCAGAGCAGAGCCTGATGCCAGAGCCAGCCCTTCAGGAACAGCACTGCCTGTGGTGGGTGAATAGACAGATGAAAGTGTACTGCACACCCTCTTGAGAGTGAGCACTCTGCAAGGAATGAAGGGACCTCACCCTTTTGTCAGGGGAAGTTCTGTCTCCAGGAGTACAACAGGTTTTCAATGACAAACGGATCAAAACTCCCCTAGAGAGGGATTCCTGCCATAAGGAACTGCAAAGGAGAGGGTATAATGAGCTCATCTTTCAAAGGGCTCAGAACCTTCCATTTTTATTCTCCTAACAAAAAGTTGAAGGCCTAGTGTGGTGTCGCACACCCTTGATCCCAGTACTTGGGAGACGACAGAGGCGGGTGGATCTGAGTTTCAGGCCAGCCTGCTCTACACAGTGAATTCCACAACAGCCCGGGCTACATAGAGAGACCCTGTCTCCAAAACAAAACAAAACAAAAACTTTCAAAGAAAAGTGTTTCACTAGAGGCTAATCTACCTGGAGAATGCTCCAACCTCTACCCTTCTCTCCCCAGCTCCTGCCTCAGCCGTCAGGAGGGAAACGGATAGGGGCTCTTGCTGGGCAAAGCAGACTGAGGAGAGGCTTTGTGAAGGGCTGAGGCTGTACCACGGGACCAGAGAAACCTTGCTTTCCACAGCCCTGCATGCCCCACATATCAGTCTCACATTTCTGCCCTATAGCATAACTAGACAAGAGAAAGACTTCAAAGGTGACACTGAAGCTTTCGGGTGTCATGAACGGGACCTGGACTTGTGACATGCCAGCAGCCTCTATTCAACTCCTCTACTGACTCTTCAGATCCCCCGTGTCTGTGACATCCCCTATGATCAGTTCTTCCATTACCTGATAAACTACTACATACAGTCTCTCTGCTGACAGAGACCATCTCTAACAAAATGGCTAAATGCAGAGAAAAGCCTTGGTAGAAACCTCCAGACTTCACCAGACTGCTGAGCTACTATGTATTTCCTCCTCCTCCTCCTCCTCCTCCTCCTCCTCCTCCTCCTCCTCCTCCTCTTCTTCTTCTTCTTCTTCTTCTTCTCCCTTTTCCTCTTCCTCCTCTTCTTTTTTTTTTTGAAATGTGCATTTGTATTTTGCCATCATGTATATGTGTATGAGGGCACTGGGTGAATGGGGACAAGATCACACTAGCCTGGAAGTAGCAGCACACAATTATCCGGGTTCGTGGCAGGCATAGACAGGAGGTTCACAAGTTTGAGAACAACCTAAACTATGTGGTAAAACTCCATTGAGAGAGAGAGAGAGAGAGAGAGAGAGAGAGAGAGAGAGAGAGAGAGAGAGGGCAGGCTTATGTCCTCTGGTCTTTGCTGAGAAAACAGTGATGACATTAACCCTGACAACAGGTCCCAAATGTATCTCGGAACCTATTCCTAACCCTGTAAGCAAATGGAGCCATAAACTTGAGATCAAGAACTGAGTGGGGTTAACACTGCCACCTGCACTCTGAACTTGCAGAGCAACGTGTACAAGTGTGCATGTTTGTGATGAGAGATTAGACACAGGCCTCTGTGTCCCTGCCAAGAATACATAGATGCTAGTCCTAACTTCTGATTAACTTCAATGTGGTCCATAGAGTTCTTTGTAATGTGAGAATATGTTTTTGACTTTTGCAGTGGCGCTGGGGACCAAACCCAGAGCCTCATGCATGCTGTGTAAGTATTCTACCATTGAGCTACATCTGGCTACCTCTGTAACTTTCATTGTTGCTACTAAGAGTTACATGTTCTTTTCAAAGGACAAAAATGACAATTAGTTTAAAGATCTCTGGTAATTTTATTTTCTATTCTGGAACCAGCTAATGCTTCCTCCCATGAAAATTCATTTCTTATGGACTGAGCAAAAACACTTTTGGGGGTTGGGCCTAGGAAACTAATAAAGATGGTGGGGGGGATTTGGTTTTTGTTCTGCTTTGTTTTTTTCCACTTTTTCAAGACAGGATTTCTCTGTATCACCCTGGCTGTCCTGGAACTTTCTCTACAGACCAGCCTGGCCTCTGACTCAGAGATCTACTGGGAATAAAGGTGTGAGCCACTAGGCCTGGCTTTAGTAAAGAAATTTTAACATAGATTTAAGCATGAGAGTTAACAGAGAAGGGCACTCAGAAGAAGTATACCATATCCACAAGCATAGGTGGGATATCTTACAGAGGCTGACAGCTGGCTAATCTTTCCAAGTCACTTTCCTCACCAGGTGTGGGCAGGAAGACAGAAGTATGGAGGAGAAAGGGCTCCGCGTATCGCCCACACTACGATCTGTTCCAGGAATCGGGCAAAGGCCTAGAGATTGAAATAAAGAGACAAGACAGCAGGTCATTCGTTCAATGGCAATGTCAGAATGCCGAATGCCGTTTATTGAGGGGATGGAACGGGCTTAAATACTGACTCACAGCACAGTGGAAAACAACAGGATTTTTAGGCTTAGCCCCTCACCACGAGGTGTGTGTTATCAAAACAGGAAGAGTACCAATAACAGCTTTGGGGCAAGGAGTTCTGGCCAACAGCTTCCGGCTTGCTCAAGGTGCCTCAGGGGTCTGTGCAGGGCCCTA